TTTACTATGTAATGAACAGTGGAAAGCAGACACTATTACCTATTACTACATAATTTAAATGATATAATAATGATTATTGTATTTTTTACACTTTACCAGTATGCTGCAGGTACTGTGCATTCATAACTACTGGTCTACGAGATCCCATTCACTTTTTAAATCCTGTCATGAAACACATTTATTTAACATCCACTTCAAATAATTCTCTTTTCTTCTTGCTTTCTCTTTTGACAGCGTCATAAGCGCATTTTCGCGGATATGGCGCTATACAAATTGACAGTATTATTATTATTATTATTATTATTATTATTATTATTATTTATTTATTTATTATTATTATTGTTTTTCAAAATTAAAAATAGATTTATAAAAAAAGTGACAAAAAAAAAAAACAAACACCAAAAAAAAAAAAAAAAAACCAAAAATAAGTGTTACATTTATAAGAAATGCATTCTATTAAACTAGTGTAGTTTCAACATTGATCAAGTCTTAGAGAGTTAAACATGGGCAGAGGAAATTGCTTAAAAGTATTTATTATAGATTACTTGAATTTCCTTGATACAAAATCAATAGTTACTGGGGCAAATTCAACCTAAATATTGACTGGTTTTGTGAACACCTGATAATTGGATAATACATTGGAAACATGATTAAAGTCAATAGTACATTGATGTGTCATCAATGTTATGATATCTCCTCTGAAAAGCAAATTTTTTTGAGAATATTTGTTACGTAATATATAAATTTGCTATAGCGCATAAATAAAATCAAATGCGCTGTTTAGATAGTACTGTAAAACAGAATTAAAAATTTGAAAAAAATGTGTTTTGAGACAGTGTTTGAAAATGTTGAGAGAAGGAATTTGTAGTTCTTGAAAAGAGGTTTATCACTGATGGATCCGAGTCTCCATTAAAATTCTAATAATAAAATAATAATCATAATAATAATAATACTGTAATAAATCAAACATTTACGTCAATATCATAAAACTGAAGTGAAAATCGAAGGCGGTATATGCGTTGGATGTTGAAGAGAAATTATTAAAATCTAGCAGCTAGCATTAAAAATAGTGACAGATGGTAAACTAACGATGAGTTTAGATAGGGATTTTCAAAAAAATTTTGCCGAAAATAAAAATTATTTGTCGTCATAGAATTTACTGATGTTTGTTCCAGGTAAAACTAGCTAATTATGGTTGTCGATGTACAGTATGAAAACAAATAATGGGTATATTTTGAAAGGAGTTAGTAGGTAAGTATTGTTGTTTTAGTTACAACAAAAGTATAACATTATTTCACTTTTTTGTTTTAATTCTTTTGTGAATGCTACCATGCATTCTATGGGTAGTGCCATAAAGTAGAATAAACTAAATATACTACATCCAGAATAAAAAAAAGTTATCTGTATGCTAATTATTAATAATCATTTCCTGCTATTGTTCTTTGTAGTGGATACCGGTACTTACAATTTAAGTTTAATTACAGTAAGTTAATAATTTTACATTTTTGTTTTAATTTTTAAAAATTATTTTAAGACTATACCACAGTTTGTGAGTGCTACTGTACGTAGCATGCTAAGGCTAGTGCCATCAAGTAGATTAAACTAAGTATTGCATCCAGAATAAAGAAACATTATACTATTCTATTATTTTCTGCTACCTTTTCAGTGGATACCGGGTACAATTGACGCTTCAAGAGCAAGTTACAGTACAATAAAAGGCAAAAATAAGAAAATGTTTTGTTGCCAAGGAACACAGATTTTTGACAATAATGGCTGTTCAGGTTTATTCTGTACAATACAATACAATGGTAACAATAGGACTAAAATCCACATATTAAAGCTTTAAGTCAGGGTCTGGAGGGAAAAAAATTGTATACTGTATGTTCGACAACTGAAGACGCAAAAAGCATATTTGATGAACGGCTGGGAACGGTTAATGAGATACAGATTTTTTTAATATTTAAAAACTGGTGAAAAAACGTGGGAAAAGGGTGGTTAAACTCCTTTTTCCTCAGTTTTCATATATTCAAAAAGCTGTATCTCATTAACTGTTCCAGAGTTTTTCGTCAAAAATTCTTTTTGTGTCTTACTGTAAAAAATCAGTTGTACAACATATCAAAAATTTGTTCCCTCCGAAGCCTGACTTTAGACCAGTCTTTTGAACCATCACGCAAGCTTATTGGCCTTCTGTTTGGTAAAGAAATATTGGCCTACTTTTGTAAAAAAGAAAAAGAGCACCAACCTTTGAATTTAAATGGTTTTGCGTTGGTCGGGCTTGAGCAACATCATTTTTTTGTGTGTTTTTTTTTTTTTTGGCTTAATTGCAGTATTTATAGTGGCAAATTTCTATAAAGGCTGAGCATATCGTGGTGCTGACTTGTGGAACAATATTGATGAGGAGCAGATTCCTAGCATTATAGACTGACATTTTTAAAGCATTTTCAAATTTTAAACGTAAATAAATAATTTTTTTTAGTTCAGTAATTATATTAGTATTAAACTACTAAAATAATTTACAATTATATTATAGTTACTTAAATTATTAGTTATTTATCAAGTTAAATTAATAAATACTTTAAAAAAAAGATGGGACCTATATTCAGTGAAATACTAGAATAATTTTACAATTGGAATTCTGATTTTATGCATTGACTTTCACCCTCAATTTTTTCACTGCTTGCATTAAAACTGAAGCCAATAAAAATACATTAGAAAAGACATTGAGTTATTGGTGCTATTTTTTGGCAGTGTTTTGTACAACATCAATGTCTGTGTTAGGCTATACTGCAACAATAAAATTCAAAATTTGAATTACCTACTTTGTATAAAATAGTCAGGCATTTATATTGCATTATTTCATCAGGATAACAACATACTGGAATGATGTTGCTTACAAAGTTTCAAAATCCAAATAGATAAACATGTTTTGCAAAAAAATGATCTTTCAGAGCCTTTTGAATTGATGCACTAGGCCTAGTTTCTTGAACAGTATGATTCCAGATCTTAGGCTCACTGCACATAAAACTAGAGTGAACTTTTTTTCAAGTGTAATAATTCATTTGAAAAATAATGCATTTAAAATTGTTTTTTTGTTGTTGTAATTAATAACTTTATAATAATAATGGTCATATATATAGTGCCTTTTTCTCGCAGTTACAAAGCGCTTGCCTTTGCAATATAAATCAAAATAGATTTTTTTCTTAAATTTATTCCCAATGCCTGTACATGTGAGTAATGTTTCTGTTGGATTGTTGATTATAAAATAATATAAAAAATAGTAAATCTGGGTTTATTTAAATGAGTGCCATCTATGGCAGATTAAACTAATTAAAACTAACCTGAAAAAAATGCACACATTGCTGCTTGTTTTCAAACCCTTTTTCAAAAAAGTTTTAAAATGTATGTAATTGATAAAAACATAATTTTCCAAATAATAACAATGGTATTCACGCTGTTTATCAACAGTGACGTCCAGCAATGACTCACACAGGTCAAACAACAGTGAATTTGCATGAAAATCACGCCGATGATCTATGTTGACACCGCTGCGATGCAGAGGTAAGTGAGTAGGTCATTGCAGTTACTGATCTGTTATGCGGAGTTCCTAACTCCGTCCACAAGGACACTTAACACCTACATCAACAGATAAACAAGCCATGTAAACAAGGCTATAAAGCTCTGTCCACACTATCAAATTTTATTTGAAAAAAACTGTTGTATGCCCATATATATATATAGTCATGATGTGCCTATATATGGTCATGATGTGCCTATATATGGTCATGATGTGATGTCATCATGACCATATTTAGGCATGTCACATGTTTCTGCCAATAAAATTTGATAGTCTAGACAGGCCTTTACTGTACTGTTTGCCCTTTAACCAGAAGCAAATGTAAAACTGTAAAGGAGTAACACAATCAAATTTACCTGCATGAAAAATAACTTTAGCGGGGACTTTTGCAGCCCATGTCTAAACTTGGCAACAGGACAACATGCGAACAAAGTGACAGAGTTTAGTTTTTCATACTAATTAAGACGCAAAAGAGAATCGTTGATACAAAATATTATCCAACATACTGTATATCAAAATCACACAACCTCCTGATTCTATGAATATTTTTTAAGTAGGCCTATTGTTAATGATGAGATTATTTTCTGATAATTCTCGAGAGACTAGGCGGCATAAGCTTAAGTTCAAAGCAGGGCTAAGCTAGTTTTAGATTTAAACTAAAAACCGAAAGATCCACTAATTAATCTCAGATAAGATAGTATAATACATAATCTATGTACTGAAAAATGCATGCCATTGTGTCGGATTCAATATTTCAACATTAATTGTGTCATCATTATCACTCCTTGTCCGCTCCATTGTTATTTATAATTAAATTATTATTATTATTATTATTATTATTATTATTATTATTCAAACTCAAATTCATTCATCAAAACCTTCACAAGAAGATAAAACATACCATTAATTAAGGCTACACATTAATTAAATTATTAAATAATGAAAACACTATGAAGAGAAGTGTCCTGCATAAATAAGTGACCAATACCAATAAGATATAATATTATAGACCTACTGTATATAATTATAAGTCAAGATATATAAATAAGACAATAATAATATTATTATTATTATGATTATTATTATTATATTATTATTATTATTATTATTATTATTATTATTATTATTATTATAATTATACTGTTAAATTTGGCTAAGGCTAAGCCTATAATCATCGGGTAGTCACCTAGGCAATCACTCGGCGAAATTTCTGGTGAGATTCATCGTGTAGGGCCTAGCCTTATAATATAGGCCTAAATAGAGGTAGCCTAGAGCCAGAGAGAGGGAAGTTTCAGAGAGATAGAAGAGCGGCAGGGCCTCCGTCTTCACCTGGCCCTGGGGTCTACCGTCTTACCGCTAAAAAGTACAAAATACAACAGGATCAGCAAACAATTTAAATGCTGAAAGTGCACTCAATTATACTAACCATTGTTCATAAATAATTCCAGGTATACTAACAACCACTGAACTGTATACTACATCATCTATGATCCGACGTTACTCGCTCCTGATGCTAGGCCTAGGCTAGGCTCTACTTCCCCTTTCCATCGCACAGTGTTACCCGATGACTACTGCTGCCGACTCAGTTCATAATAAATAGAGGTCATCAAAACTAAAGGTCATTCCCATGACTACAGCAACGCCACCAGTCTCGTTGCTCAGGTTTTGTGAAATGGTTGCCGAGGATACGATTATAATAAACAAAAGATGTATAATACGATCCCATGTGTGTCAACAAACGGGATTCACGATAAGTGCAATCGCCAGTGAGAATTGAAATCAATGAAATGTCATGGTGTCAGAATGTTATGAAAATAATGGTCGATGATAACGCAGAAATTAATGGACGATGATCTACATAATGCGCATTGACCTAAAAGTAATAAAAAAGACTGCGAAAAGGTGCAGCAAAAAAAAAAAATAATAATAATTCGTTCTAATTCCGACGACAAGGGAAATCTAGGACAGGCATAACATACAGATAAACGAACGTAATTCTATTAATTAACAATTAAACAAATTTAAAACTCTTCCTGGTAACTGACATGATAAACTTTTTTATCTATAAAGTAAGGGTAGTTGATATTTCAATGATAAGACAAACAAAACACTTAATTTTCTGATTTTCTAGATGAAAGACAATATTAAAAGGGTATCCGCAAATTGTTTATAGGTTTTATCTATATGGCCATTATTTGTTTTCTAGTTTTCTTTACTTAAATACAACTAAGCAAATTGTTTTCTAGTTCTCAACTGAAGGGTAATAATCTTACTTAACTACAACTAAGCAAATTCAAATATTTAATTTTTAAGTTCTATAAGTTATTATTAATAATTAAAATGTTTTTCTTTTCAAATCAAGTCTGTCAAAGTACCTGACTTGAGTAAGACTGAAATAGATACCTAATAAACACTAACAAAATTTAACTTGTTAAATTGTATTTTCTTAATCAATTTTCCTAGATTTTTAAAGATGTACTGTCCCCTGAAAATGACAAAAAAAAATTTGAAAGATGTATTGAATATAACATATGTTTAGTACCACGAATTTTATACTCGATAATGATAAAAATAATAAAAACACTTCCAGTGACTGAAAGTGTCTATCATTTTTAGCTGTAAAATTGTGGGTAAACACTAATTAATATTATCTTATCTTATGTTCAAGTTGATAATTATATGTCATTTCAAATGAGAAAGTTAATCTGAAACATGATTTTCATGATTTTTTGGTATTTTTCATTGGAAAATAATGCATTATTGTATTGTAGGAGATACAAGTGATTCTGAGTTATAGTAAAATATTATTTGCTTAGGTTGCCTTATTCATTATATATCGGCAGGGAGATGTAAACGATTGTTTACGTCTCCCTGGTATCGGTAGGCCTATGTAATTGTCAGGCGCCGTGTCATGTCTGATTTAAAGAAATGGAAAACCAGAGAGGAGAGATCAGTGGAACTAAAACAAAGGGCAAAGCCTCCTGATGATGAGGAGCTGTAAACTAGCCTAGCGCCATCTATTGACAGGTATGACAGGATTTTGGGATTGGCTCAAAGTTTTGGTTGAGAACACTGGGGATTAGGCCTAGCTCTGAGATTCTACAGATTGTGTTTCTGCATCACACAGTAAGTTTAATTATTATTCACATTCATTTATAATATCCCTGTATTTTTCGGCCCCTGCTGGGGATAGGCCCCTCTATATCTAGTCTAGGTCTAGGCCAGCCACAACTGATCGACCGCTGTGACGTGATATCTATCTGACTGCTAATTCCTACAGACCTGGCCTAGCCTAGGCCCTAAGCATAGGCCTAGGCCTAGATGCT